TTATAATTTATAATTTATATTTTTTATTTAATATATAATTTTAAATTAACAACACTAAAAAAATAATTTTATTTAATATATAAATTTAATTTTTTAACAACACTAAAAAAATTATAAGGCCATAATTTTTAATTTATTATTTATAATTTATAAAATAACACTAAAAATATAATTTATAAATGTTCAAAAGACTAGTTTATCCTTTTTCAATTGTTTATTAAGTAATAGCATGAGAGTAAAATAGACATTTCATACAATAGTCCCATGAGATATCAATCCCATGAAAATAATCTCACCCTTCCCCCTAGGATACAACAATCCCTCATATGAGGGACTAAAAGTCCAAAGAGTCTATTAATTCGGAACAAAAAAATTAAACAAAACAATGAACTACTAATTCGGATGGACTAATAGTCCAATCCCATGAAATAATCCTTCAAAACAAACACACTATTGTCTTATTATTATTATTATTATGAAAAAGATCATTGGAATTGAATGATCATTATTGCTCAATCAAAAGATGATTTTTTTTTTAAAAGAATGGAATATAGAAAAAAGAACTGCATCGTCGTAAAAATTATTCTGGAAGAAAAAAAGTTATTATCAAAGTTTGAAATTTTGAGGAATTTTGCTCATGAAAATTTGGAAAACTTACATTACGCTAGTAAAAAAAGAATCCTAAATTTTCACCATATCTACCTCATTTTGCACAATAAAATATTTTACTTTTATGTCAAGAAAAAGTGTTACATAATTAGTTATTAGCAAAAATAGTGGGCTAAAAAGCCGCAAGAGCTCTTTTGGGCTTGGATCCAATGAAAGAAAAGAGTAAAAAGCTTAGACTACCTCGGTGCAGCTTATGAATGCCGGGGCTCGAAGCTCAGTTCTCACCTAGGCCTGCCTTGGGCCTGCTGGCCGGACTACAAAGTAAGTGGGTAGCCTATGCAGACCCCAATAAATAAAATAAAAATAAAAGAGGTAGCTTTATGCTTTTCTCTGTCAAAATTTTTGCTGAATCCTATAAAGATTCCAAGGCAATTTTTTATTTTTTACTTTTTTTTTCATTAGGGCGTGACTTCGGTGGACTCAACTAGAGCCGTACCCGTGTAGCCTGTAAAGTTTAGGCAGTATAATATTAAATTTAATTTGAGTTTGGGTTCAATCTTTTTTTGGCCACACTTCTCACAATTTGAGCTTGAGTAGTAATGTTGATTATGTAATGAAGTCAAATAGAATTATTCCATCAAAATCTTTGTTTTTACATTTAGTTGACTAAAAAATAATAAAAAATACATTATAAATAGGAGTGTTTGTGATTTAATTGCGGCCAGAAAATTTTTAATCTGTCATCTGTCTGCCGGATGGATGGATTGAAAAAAATTAATTTACATCTGTTTGCCGAATTGACGGATGCGGATTGAGTGGATTAACGGATTGACAGATGGACGCGAATCTGTTTGGCGATTTAAATTTTTACAAACTTTGAATATAATATAACTTGTCAACATTTTTTTTTGGATAACAATCCAACTCAACATAATCAAAAAATTATTAAGTTAATTGTTAAATACTAATAATAAATACATATAAGAAAATCGTGCATTATCAAAACTATTTCATTACTTTTTTTTAATATTAAAACACTATTTAATTTGATTTTTTTTTTTATAAAAAAAGACAAAATTAAGCTTTATATTTTTCACACAAAAATTCTAAATATCAACCCTTACATTTGATAAAAGGATTTCTAAATTGAAAACAAATTGAAAACATAACAGAATATCTAAAATTTTTTTCAATTAAAAACACAAACATAATATCTAAACAAATTGAAAATACAAAATCTTATAAATTACTAATGGTGCTCACGGTTTGGCGGTTCGGTTGCGGCCAAAAGAATCTCAAATCCGTCATCCGTTCAAAACTAGGTGGATTGAAAAAAATCAATCTGCAATCGTCCGCTCGTCATCACGTATCCGTCCAAAATGCGGCGGATCAGTTCGGTTCGATCAGTTTGAACGAATCAGTATATACGCTCCTCACCCATAATAAATAGTATCATAATTTGATAAAAGAATTACATTCTATTCTATATTATTCTAATAAATCAAATAAAGAGATGAACTGAATTATTCAAATTGCCATTACATAGCTTTATTTTGTTACAAAAATAGGTGGATGGAACAGTAGTACTAGAGTTTTGGTTTGAAGATTTGTTTTCATTTGTTTTTGCGATATGTTGTAAAGCAATAGTTAGAGGAATGAATAAAGATTCTCTCTCTCACATTCGACATTAATGCTAAAATTTATAATTTTAATTTATTGGTCAAAGCCCTAAATGTAAAAGTAGGTTAGTGAAATCATATAAGCATTATTAATCATATTGAATTTAACCCAAATTTGAACCTCGTTGGAGGAATGAATAATGATTCTCTCTCTCTAATTCGATATTAATGCTAAAATTTATAATTTTGATTTTATTGGTCAAAGCCCTTAATGTAAAAGTAGGTTAGTAAAATCATATAAACATTATTAATCATATTGAATTTAACCCAAATTTGAAGGAAGTTAGTGTGTTTCACTCTAGTTTCTTTATTAATATTTTAAAACTTAAGAGAGAAAATAATTTTTTTTTGGGGTAAAACACTAATAAATTTTAAATAGTGATCTTATGAACTGTTTGGTATTTATTTTTAATGGACCTAGAGATCCCATTATAATGTATTTTTTTTTTTTTAAATATAACACACAAAACTCCTTAATGTATTTTTTTCAACAACAATGATTGAGACCTCTATTTTTTGGAGAAGTAATGATTCATCCCCCCTTTTTCTCCCACCCCCTTTGACCCCTCTCTCTCTCATTGGTTACCTTTTCTTTTTCTTTTTCTTTTTTTTCCTGCTCCACCAATCACCCCTGCCAGTTGGCAAAGGGGGGGTGAGGGGGTGACCCCCAAAAGGGGGTCCCAAGCATTATTCTTTTTGGAGACCCTATGACCCCCCCCTTTGGATCTCCACCATTGATGGTGTGGGCTCCACACATACATAAGTGAGTCTTATATGTACATCAATGGTTGAGATCCAAAAGAGGTTGTGAGGGTCTCTAAAAAATGGGGGTCTCAAGCATTTTTCTTTTTCAAACGTAACAACATAACATTCCAAAAAAACTTATTGATGTATTTTTTCCAAATATAACACTCCAATCAATATAATACACAAAAACTCCTTAGTGTATTTTTTTTTTCAAATGTAGTACTATAATATTACACTCCAATATAACACAAGAAAATCATACTATCGGAATATGTATATTTCCATGCTCGACAACCAATACTTTAGCCACCAATCCCTCAAAAAAAGAATTTTTCACACCTTTACCTTTCTATTCTCATACCAAAAAAAAAAAAAAAAAAAAAAAAAAAAAAAATCAGAAAATTAGAAAATTGAATCACAAAATGGCATTCACTTAAATTCAAATGACACTAAATCAAATAAATACAACTTTCTAAAATAAAAATAACTAATTGGTTTATAAGAAAATTCGTAAGACTAAATAGATCAACATTCCCCCATATAAGATTTATAAATAAATTTTCCTTTTTTATTATGTTCTGTTTATTTGCATAGAAAATATTTTTCTATATTTGGTGGTGTGACGATTGGACGAAGGTGGGACTTGAAGTGAAGGTGGTGGTGTTGTGGTGGGGTGCCAAAAGCAACAATGATTGTGACAATGATTGTGGCGGTGGCTATGGTAATGGTGGTATAGTGGTGTTAGTGACAGTGATAGTATAGTGACACTAGCAAATTTTGAATTTGTAAAACGATTTTTAACTTTAAAAAATAAAAATTATTATTTGACAAAATATATATTTTTTGTTAATTATGAAAAATATTTTTTAATTTTTTTGTTTAGTTTTATATTATTTTTCAACCCAAACAAAGTGAGGATTAACTTTATTTTATTTTCTCATAACATAATTTTATCTTTATCTTCGATTCTTGTGTGGTTTCAATTTTTTATATTTAATTTTTTAAAAATTAAATTTTTTTGCTTTTTGTTTCTTGTATTTTTTTTTTGTTTTTAACAGATTTTTTTAATATTTTAAGTAATTTTTTAAATTTTTTTAGATACACTTAATATAAACACAATTAAAAAGTATAATATTTGAGAAAAAAAACTTTTTAAAAAACTCATTAAATACTAAAAATACAAAAAAAAAAGAGAGAAGAAAATTCAATACATTTTCATATCTTGTGTACTTATTATTTTTTAAAATATTTTTTGTTTTAGATATAGGTAAGTTAGGTGTATTTAAAAATTAAAAAATTTACTAAAAATATTTTTAAAAAATACAAAAATAAAAAAAACTTAATTTTTTAAAAATTGGAACCAAGGTGATGGCTTTGAGCAAGGATCCTCTAGAGTTTTTTTTCTTAAAGTTTTCTAGAACGGTGTATTGTGTGATTGAGATTTAATGACAAGTCACATTAATTTTTCAACATTAAATCTCAATCACACAATATACCACTTTAAAAAATTTTAGAAAAAAAACACTCTACGAATCCTTGGTGGATGGCTTTCTCTCTAATTTTTTCGTCTTCCTTTATTTTTCTTAAGCCGCAACCAAACACAGGGATAGGTCTGGTCACCTACAGATTAGGCGGTCTTTTTGGCAATATGGCTGGTTTTGGAATGGCGAGGAGTGAGAGAGAGTGTGTGTGTATCCTCCTCCTCCACCTCCACCTCCACCTCCACCTCCACGCCATTGTTCTTCTTCTCCTCCTCCTTCCCTTCTCTGTACCAGCTCTGGCCCCACCACTTTCCTCAATAGGGACCCACCCAGATCGAAACTCATCCACCACCACCACCACCAACGGAAGTTCATCTTCTAATTTGCCGTAACAGGTACTTTTTTTTTTTTTTTTCAAAGAATTGTGCATTATGTGTTCTCTTTTTCAGCATCGTACATTATTGTTTTTCTCTTAACTCCTTCTCTCTTTGTGGGTTTGTGTTTTGTGGGTGAGGATGTTCTTTTTGTCTTGTATGTTTTGTGCAAAAGAAAGGCACATATGCCTTTCCCTTTCTAACTTTTGATCCCTTTTTGCCTCACACAGTTTTCTTTGAACTTTTATTTGCAATAAAGTTGAACCCAAAAAAAATTAAATAAAAAATGTGCCTTTGATTGCGCTGTTAACCATTTTCTTGGCATTCTCTATTCAAATTCTCTATATGGGTTCTGGCTCATTTAGAGGGAAAATTAGGGGAGAGAAAGTTGGAATGATGATGGGTTGAATTCTGGGAGCAGAGCATGGGTTGGTGTAATCATTGGTTAAACCTTTCATCATCATCTTTTTTTTTTTTGGCTTTAATCTTTTGCTTTTCGGTTAGAAAGGCCGAGAGAATCTGATCCCTTCTCATTTTGTCTCTGATGAGATTAAGGCGTAGACAATGCATTCCTTCTTGCTCTTCTCATCACAGAGTAAACCCTTTTCACCTCTTCTTTCCCAACCTTTTACCTTCTTTGAATGAATTTCTTGATGAACCTTAAAAATTAGTTTTAATTTCGACACTTAGTTCACAATGTTGTTGATGCTTTAGAACTTTTTCATTAGTTCACAATGTGTCTTTTGTTTAATCCTATAATGCTTTTGCACTTTGTGGTTTTCAAAATCAACCCTTTTCGTGTAAATTGATGGTCCCCTCGGTTATTGCTTGCTTCTCTGCCTAAATTTAGTTCCGGGTTTTGTCCCAAAAATAGTATGTAATTTGTTGAGCTTATCTTACTAGTTTACAATGTTGAAAATTGTTGGAGATCAGACAGCCTGAGTTTCCTCAATATGCCCGTTAGTTTTCAATGTGCTTATGTCACGAGTTACAGGAGAGTGGATGGTTAAGAGCCTCCGAAAAATACCTATAATTTTACAATGGTTCTTTTGCTGATAACTAGTAATGCCTTTTCACCCTGTGATTGAACCAACTCTTCTAGGTGCAAAACTCTACTAGCAATATGTTCTTCAATGTTTGGTAGATCATGTATGTGGTTATTTATTTTCAATCATGTTATGGATTGGATAGAAGATAGTTTAGTTTCTAGTGGAAATACCAATTTGCTCATTTTGTTTCTTTTTCTATTAACTTATACTGCTTGTGCTTCACATAATTAGATTATTATCTATCAATGTAAAGAACGATGTGGCGACTGTTCATTGTTTGCTTTCTTACATAATCAATCCCTTTGTTCCTTTTCAAAAACAATAAAGATCATATATGATCTTATCTTACCTTTGAATATGAACTTGTTAGAACGAATTATTTATACCCCTCTCAATACCTTTGTCCACACCATTTGTTCTCTGGTCATATCATATCTTACAATGCCATTGCATGTTTCTTCAATTGAACTCTTGGTATGAGAATTGGTGTTGCCAATGTTTTTCACTCTCAGATTTTTCCTAGTTTATCTAATTCATGAATGGACTTTTGGTTGCTGCTGCACCTACTCTCAGAAAAGCTCATAATATATATAGAAATATCTAATCTTTTTTTTATATATGCTGAAATCAATTCTGTTTCTCTACAATTATGATGTTCGTAAATGTATTGACATATGAATTCGCTGCTAATCTTTATTCTAAGCAAATCTGGATACCTTAGTACTTGACCAAGTTATTTTGTGCTTGTGAAATTGAAAGAAAATATTTCTATTAATAATTTTAGCCACTCATCGTATTGCATCTAGTGATTTGAGTTATGCAAGTTTTTTTATTTTTTTATTTTTTAACCAAACCAAATTAAATTAAGGTTGGTGTGCCAACTTCCAATAAGGTGGAGTCAACTACAAAAGTCATTTTTCTTGTAAAGGGCTATATGCTCAGTTAAATTAAATAAGGTCTTTCTCTCCCCTTAACATTTCCATTTAAAATTCAGGTTGATGAAGATGAAGCTTATTGGAGAAGGAAGAAGGCCAGTGAAGAGTTGGCATGGTCTCATAATTCTGCTCACGTAATATCACAGTTAACCCAATGTTTTAGTGAGTAGAAATTTTGATACCCTTCCTATCGTTTTCTTTGATTTTATTTTACTTCTAGTTCTCTGTCTCTCTCTCAGTTTGTCATACTCGGATTCTTTTTTGCATTTTTTGCATGATTACTTCCCTTGTTCTTACACCCTATAATTGGTTATAAAAGCATGTTGTATTTTTACTTGTAGAATGCAATTGTATATAGTTGCCCATTTGTGTTTGTTTCATTGTTTAAATTTGATTTATGGTCAGGTGTAACAAGATGCTTTTTTGGATTAGTTTGGTTGATTTAAATTCGGCTTTTGGTTTGAAAGTATTAGTTCCATTTCTGAGAATGATAATGACTTTTACTAATTAATTTTTAAATATGCTTGAGCAGACCTAGAATCCTCAAGTCCAACAACGCTACAAGGGAAAAAACAAATTTGGTTATTTTATTTATTAACCAAACATGTTTGAGCACCAAATTACCTAATTCTGATCAGATGTTGCATAATTAAGAATAATTAAAGGCAATTACAATAATCCAAGGAAATGTGGAGGCTGCCTAGTTACTACTTCTCCTAGAATCTTCCATGGGAGCATTGTATTGTATGCTGGGTATGACCTTTTATGATAATCCAAGTAAAAAAAACCTTAATTTAATAATAAAAAAGATCACCTCCTAGTTATTTTAAGTAATTTTCCCATTCAATTAATTCTTGTATTTGCTCGACTCCAATTCTCATGGACTTGTGATGTGGATATTCCATGTATCTTGTTGTAAGAAACAAATAAATTAAATTTAAATTCTCTGCTTTTTCTTGATACTAGTGTGTAAAAGTTTAGGCAAGTAACTGGATGACTTTGTGTTACACTTGTCGCTACAACTCATGCTACATTGAAAAACACTCTGCACAATGTTATTTTTCTTCTGGGTCCAACATTCTTACTTGATGGCACAACCAAAAAATGAACTATTCAATTTTACTCAGTTCCTCTTATGGCACTGATAATTATTGTTGTTGTAGCTAATGCTATGGTTGGACCACGATCATGGATAGGAGGGATCTTTAGCCGCTCAGGCAATAGGCGTTATGGAAATGAAAAATTCATTGACTATCATTTGAGTCCTCTTCAGGTATCTCTCTGCTTGTGTGTGTGTTTGTGTTGAATATGGGATTCATGGATTAGTTATATGCATGTCAATGTGCATTTGTGTTCCTTCTATCGTGTTGTCTAGAAAGGCTTCAATTGGTGCTGATCATGGTGAAAAGAGCTTTGGGAAAGTAGTTTGCATTAACATCAAAATTTGGTTGTAAGTAGGATGATAGGTGGTTCCGTGATCCGTTTAGTATTTTATCATCCTTTCAAAACTCATGTTCTCTAACTTCCTTGCAGGAACAAAGACTTCAAAGACTTCAAGAACGATTGTACGTGCCTTTTGATGAGACTCGGGCTGATCATCAGGTACTTCATGCTTGGAGCAAGCTTTTGACTGTAGATGTTTGTTTAGCAGTAGTATTAGGATTTATTATCTGGCTAGTGGCTACTGACTTTATCTGTTTCAATAGTATATCCATTTAGGCTCAGTTTGGTTAGATAATTAATATAGGAAAGCAAAAGAAAAAGAAAAATTTATTTTTCATGTGTTTGTTTAAATAGAGAGTCCTAGAAAGTAATACAACTCAAATTAGCTTGTTAGTTAAGCTAATAATTTCTTGCAAAATATACTGGGAAATTTATTTTTTCCCACAAATCTTTCTTTTTTGCCCATATCTTTCCTTTTTGTCCATGTTTCTCTCCACAATTCCCTGGTGATTATATATTTTTTATCATCATTGTCTTACAAATTTTTTCATCTATTTAAATGCATGCAAGAAAATAAAATTTCATTTCTTTTTCCTTTCTTTCACTTCGCCTTCTAGCATTTTCATTTTCTATCAGACAATCTTTCTAAACAAACGGAGCCTGAAGGTGCATGATTGTAGTTTTGAGCACTTTTTTCTTCTTACAAGTTTATTTGTTCACTGTGTTTTCTCATCATTCATTCCTATTGACAGAAAGCTCTTAGAGAGTTGTGGTGTGCGGCCTTCCCAGATGTTTCTCTTAGAGGTTTGATCTCTGAACAATGGAAAGATATGGGGTGGCAGGGTGCTAATCCATCTACTGACTTTAGGTCAGTTCCTCCCTTTTAATGCAAGTTTGAATTATTCTTGCTGAACCCTAGTTCAAATATGATTGGTATGCTGTTGGGAGTATATAGGGCACACTTGTGCCTGTGGAAGAAACTTAAAATAGCGGTTTTAAGTGTTTGCATGTCTAATGGAAAAAAGATTCGTTCTGTTGTTTCTGGTGCTACTGCATTCAGTTTATCACAGCGTGGTTACTTAATCACTTTTAGGATTTATGAACTGATGGGGCCTTGTTTCATTATCATTTCTTGTACCAGAACCATTCTTATTTAAGGTCTGTTTCTACTGAATGAATTGTACTGCAAATGTTATGGGACTCTTTGGTTGCAAAAATATCATTTCACTGTCAACCCATCACCAAGTTGAAACCTACGAACCACAAACACATACGCACAACACAACATGGATACGTCGGCATGATTTTTTTTATTTAAATGCAGGACATGACACCTGGGAGACACGTATAAAATTATCACAAAATATGTATTTTTATGTGTTAAAAAAATTGCATTATTTTTTAATCATTTCATCCTAAGTTATTTTGTTTAAACTTATAATTAGTTTGATGTGTCTAGACAATGAATACATGTGTCCCTCAAGTGTGCGAAGTGTGCCCAGCTTTAAAAGCTTAAAAAAAGGACATGTTTGGACGAGTGTCCAACATGGTTCGGGGAGTGTCCGATGGGTGTTGATGTTTGACATGGACACACCACCTTGGAAGTGTTTGCTATTCTCAAACGTATTGGGATATTTTCTGATCCTCTTTATAAAATCATGAACAGTCCCTCAAGAAATAAAATGGAATGGTTTCAAATTTGGACATGTCAAATGCAATCTAAGATATATATGTTGGGTGCATATGATGCTGGACAAGAATCTGAGAGGTAGAGCAGCCAACTTATAATATATGAAGTGTTGATATAAAAATTTTCAGAAAAGAAAAGAGATTTGTGGTTGGAATTTTGAAATTCTACTATACTTCTATGTTTGAATGCATTGTTTCTCATTGACAATTTTTATTTTCCTTAGGGGTTGTGGTTTTATTTCGCTCGAGAATTTGCTGTTTTTTGCAAGGAGTTATCCGGTATGACTTGAGTAAAGAGTCCTTAGTTGGATGATTGCTTCCTTTTCTTTGATTTTTATACTGTTTTGATTGTTTCCTTAGCGCTTATATTTGGTGTTTATTTTTAATTTCTGTAAATATAAAATTGTGCAAAAGATGAGTTATTACTAATTGCATAAAAATTCAAATGAAGGATTCTTTTCATAGGTTGTTGTTCAAGAAAGGAGGGAAACGAGCGACATGGGAATATCCGTTTGCTGTTGCTGGCATTAATGTATCATTCATGTTGATTCAGATGCTCGAATTGGACTCAGGTCTGTTAACTTCCAAAAATATTGTCTGATGTCGTATGTAAAAATTTACATAAAGGACATTCATGCCAGAAAGAGGGTATTGGGACACTAAATGAAAAAAAATCATTCCATATGTGGCTTTTTGCTTGTTCATAATATATTAATTGAAAAGAAAAAAAACATATGTTTATGCTTCATAATTTCTTTGCTCTTCTGTTTGCCAGAAAAACCGAGATGTCTTCCAGGAATGAATTTCGTTAAATTATTAGGAGGTAAAGTGTTAATGTTAGTTAGATTTAGGTGTCTTTTCCTTTAGAATACTTCAAAGGGTTCCTATGTCTTGCTTCACATGTTACTTCGGTGATAAAACTGTGCTTCTATACTACTGCAGAGGATGAAGAAGCCTTTGATGTTTTATACTGTATAGCTTTTGAAATGATGGATGCTCAGTGGCTTGCTATGCGTGCTTCATATATGGAGTTTAATGTAATCTCTCTCTCTCTCTCTCTCTCTCTCTCTCATGAAAATACTTAACATAGTGCTGACTCTTTCATTATATCTTATGTTTGTTGATTCTGCGTCTTTTCATTGGTGGGAATTGACTCTATTTTTGGACGCAACACTGGAGAATAGATAAGACAAAACAATTGTGTTGGTCGTGTTGGGCAAATTCTTTAATGTTATAGTCAAGGGCAGAGCTAGGAATTCAATGCGTCACACATTTTAGACACATGCATGTTAATTCAATAAATAATATCAATTATCAAATTTCAAATCCTATTTCTAAAAAAAAGATAAAGAATAAATAAAAGGGGAAATTACCTGCAGGTGGTAATTGTAAAAAAATATTACATATATGTGGAAAGTTTATAATTTTAATTATTAATATTAATAAAATTTACTACTAATTTGTAATTATTTTTGGACTTACACACTGATTTGAAGGACTGGTCTTTCTTTAATCTTGGATATCCACTGAATCGCTTAACTGATGAATAGAAGAACCAAAGATGTAGTGTGGAGAAACAGTGTAGCGAGAGAGTATACCAAACAAAGATGAAGGAATTAGGTAAGCGAGTACTCTATAGAGAGATAGACAAGAATATCAATACTGTAAATCATACAACTCAGAAGATGGTTTGAAATTCCGATAAAAAAAAGAAAAAAGAGAAGATGGTTTGAAACTTTGTAACACTATTTTCTTTTCCAATAATGCCCATCAAACAACAGCTAAATAGCTATGCTTTTTTTATGTTGCCTTTTGTTTTTTTTGTTTTTTGTTTTTTTTTCCCTTCCCCTTTATTTTCTTATTTGTGAGGATGCCTCATCCTCATTTCTTCTTTTTGATTTATCAATAACATTTTTGTTGTTGATCCAAAAAAAAAAAAAAAAAAACTGCTAAACTGCGTTCATATTTAACCTATCTTCTTCATTTCAAATTGCCCATAAGTTTAGAGGTAAAATTGCAAATGCATCAACTAGTATTAAATAATTCTCTGTTGACAGCATGGTTCTTTTGTTTTCCGTTGACACACATTGCTTCTTACTTAGATTGATTTGCCTCTAGTATAGATTAAGTTCATACTGAATTTTGATGCTAAAACTTCTTGATTTACTTGGTTGAGTCGGGTTTCTCTAATCCAGGAAACCCCGGTGGACTAACATGTTTACCAATTATCGTCCTTCAGGAGGTTCTACGAGTAACAAGGACACAACTGGAGAGAGAGCTGTCTTTAGAAGATGTTAATCGGATACAAGATCTACCGGCTTACAACCTGCTGTACCAATAGTTTCACATAGATTTCACATTAAAAGCTACTAGTATTTTGGAAACGTTTGCAACGGATGCAAAGAGCTCCAAAAAGAAGGGTATCTTGAGACATGCTAGACCTAATGAAGATATCATGTTCTGGCTTTTTCAAGTTTGGTTTATGTTGTTAGCAAAAATTTGGTTTGGCTAAATCAACAGGGTTGATTCGATAGAAAAATCAATTTTCACAAATACAAAACAAATCAAGTGATATGATTCGTGTTTTATGTCTTGACAGATTCAAGGACTTCGTTGGAGGTTATCGACAGAGAGAAACAAACTAAAAACCGATATTGAATTGCTGAAATTATTACTTGTTACAAAGATTTGAACAAGAACAAAATCAAAAATATAAAAGAACTAAAAAAAGAAGTTTATTGATTATCAGAACTAGAAAACCATCATAGAATCCCTAAATTAAAACTACTCCTATGATGGTAAATTAGTCAAATGATACGTTATACTTCTCCTAAGGAAATTCCACTCTTACAGATCTAATTCTAACTCATGTTAAGTGTTGATGATTGATTTTCCTTTGCTATATCTCCCTCGTCATATTTATAGGCATCAATAAAACTCTCAAGTTGTTTCCTTCAAGCATTGACTCATAAGAAGTTACAAATTTGCCTCCAGTTTCCAAGCTCCACGTTTTTCCAATTGTGCCATGATGCTATGACCCGTGTTCTTTCCATAAGTGCCATGATATCATGACCCACGTTGCTATTTACCTCCTGCGCAAGCTTAGTAATAATAATAATAATAATATTATTATTATTATTATTATTATTATTATGGTCATAGTAAATCTTTAAAGATGGTCATACTATGAATCAATAGTCCAAAATTGACAGATCACAATCAATGAGATTAGATTTAGCTATAATCGACAAGTCACAATTAATTAAACGAGACTTGGCCATAATTAACAAACCATAATCGACAAATTATTTTTTGATTTCAACACATGTACACCAATTTTTGGGGTTTTAGAGCATCTCCAACGGTTACTCAGATTTTTCACCAAATTTGAGTAAAAAATGACTCATTTTACCAATTTGATACCACTCGCTCCAACGGTGCAATTTCATCAAATTTGTGCCAGGGTCGACCGGTTGGTCGACCGGTTAAGCGAAATTTTTTTTTTTTTGAACTTTTTGAACCTTTTAGTGGTCGACCGGTAAGGAAATTTTTTTTTTTTTTTTTTTTTTTTTTTAACTTTTCTTCGTTTACTGTTTGAACCTTTTTCTTCGAACCGTTTGAACCTTTAGGCGGTCAACCGGTTGGTCAACCGGCCGGGCAACCGGCTGGTTGACCGGTTGGTCTCTCCCAACGGTTAGGAACAGTGATTTGGTAAAATGCTTCGCCTGTTCTCATTTTGGTACAAGATTTGCTGAATTCTGGATTTGATATCGATTTGGTGAAACGGTTGGAGCTCAAAAAAGTGACTTTTTCATCAAATTTTGAATTTGATATCACGTTTGCTGAAGCGTTGGAGATGGTCTTAGGGCTGAAATTTGTAATTTGCAATGAGGCTGGAATTGAACCAACTTGAAAACTCTTCTTGGGCAGTAGCTGATTTAATCAAATGATAGATTGAATGCTTTTAAACATTTGTCCAAGAAGATTGCTCTGGTAGGGTTCCTAGCTTTAGTCAGCATAGCCGATGGTACTAGACAAACATACACATATTGAATTAATGGAGCACACATTAGTTTTCATCATATAGTATCTCAAACTCAACATATCGAATGGTTCCCTTTACCCTAGGTTTGGTTTGGGAATGCTAGGATCTGCTTTTTCACGTCCTGTATTGGTTAGTGGTCGTCTTTCTCCTACTTCATATTACATTGGTTCTATTGGATCTTCTACTATAGGTGTGGATTGCTAGTTCCTGTGCTTTCCATTGTTTGCGGGAATGTTTGAGTATTCATATAAAATGTATCTTCTATTTTAGGCTGTTTAGATGTTTTAAATATTTTACTAGAATGTATCTTATCTTCTAAAATATCATTTATATATTCAGTATGAAATTCCTGGTCTAACAATGAAACTGCTTCATCATGGGTATTTCCCCTTGCTATATATTCATAGTATCTGCTATCTAATATTTTATTCATATCCATTAGAGTAAAACTATCCAAATCTATCTCATTGACATTATATATTTTATTTATGATATCGTTTTTTTTTTTGATATTACATAAAGTTGATTTATGCTATTATGACTATCTTGATTTTCTTCCTTATCTATGTTACTGAATTCATATTCTTCGGATCTTTCTAGGGCTATATATGTATATTGAGTAAATCTTACTACATAACTATCGTCTGCTTTTTGATAGGGGCTAGCCTCTTTTGTCCTAAGAAATCTCCTAAATTCTAATCTAAGGCTGCATTATCTTTTGAATTATATTTTTTAGCTGGAAGTGCCTTTATTTCTTTTGCTTCTAATAATTTAACTATTTGATCATTTGTAAGTCTGTAATGAGTATAACTTTCTGAGATCGCTAAGCCTAAAATTCCTGTGCAAATTAATAAATTCTTTTCTCCCTTTTTCATCTTATACCCTTTACTTTTTATTCCTATTTTTATCTTCTTATGAAATGTTGAGGTTGGTAAGAGAAAATCTGGTGTGAAATAAACTATTCTTCCTTTCGAATTCATGTCTAATTCATAGCTTCATAATATGCTTTGTCCTACATCATTAAACCTATCATCATAAAGACATACGAAGACCTTGGCTCCTAAATTTTCTCTGGTTAAAGCCTTAACTCCTGTTACAATTAGTCCTAAATGGGTCATTTTGAGATGTTCATTTACAACATAATTGTTGTTTTTCTCTATTTATTAGATTTAGTTCTATTTTTTCATCTTCCTGGGTTACGTTACGCTAATCATTTGTTCGCCATAGTGTTTAAATAAATATTGTTTCTTATGAATTTTTCCTAGCTTATATACATACTTAGCTAGAATTAACTTTAGTTTTCCCTTTTAAATTTCTCTATTTGGTGTTCTACATCTATGAACTCTTTTACCTTAACATCTTCATTTTCATTACGCTTCTTACTGCTACTTCCTTTTACTAGCTGTTTGAACATTTTTATTTTCTATAAGTTCTACAAATAGGCTTTCTTATTGATAATCCTGATGGCAATTTAAGCTTTTTAAAATATTTAGCTATATTTTCTTCATTTGTCTGAGACTGAACCTTACTTGCTTGTCCTTCAACCTCTTTTCCTTTTTGATGTACTAATCTTTCTAAAGAAGCTATACGATTTTCCAAACTATGTAGTTGTTTTGATAATTCCTCAAAATTTTCACACAACCTAATAAGAAATAAAATTTCTATATTATTTTGTCTTACAAATATATTATCTGACTGATTTATTCTTTGATAGCTACTAATTCATTATGGATTATTATGAAAATGTTTTGCTTGTTTTGAAATAGCCAAATAATCTTTGTTAGCTTTCTTATCACTGCTCATAAATTACGATCTTATAAGTTGCTCTAATTCTTCTAAATTTTGCTTAAAATATCTTGAATCTGATTGACTTTGTTCAATTTGTCTGGCTATTTGATTTATCTGGTTATGGGTTTTTATTTTTATTTTTTTTATATTATTAATTGCTTAGATTCTAATTCTATTTGTTTAGGATGTCTTATATTTATGGTTGAAATTAAGTTTTCTATTTCTATTTTGAAGGAATGTTTACACATCAGCTCCATAGTGACCACAATATTCTTTTACTATTTCTACTTAGGTTACTATCCTTTTATTCTTAAATTCTTTTCTTTACTTTGAAAAACTACTTTTAAGTGATGTTTGCTTTCATTACATAGTATATTTTTATTTTTCTATTTCTTACCTTTCCTTTTTTGCCTATAATGTCCCTCTAATGCCTGATCACGGCACACATGGGTTCTTCAGCTAAGGTTACTCAGTTATGAAATAATAATAAAAAAAAGATAGATACTAAGAAGGTTCAAAGCATGTAATATTAATGAGCAAGCAAGCATTTCATAAACTTAGTTTTTTAAAAAGAAAATAAATTTTAGAACAGAAGAGTTACCCTTTCCAAATGCCCAAGGAAAAAGAGAAATTATTCACACTTCATATTAATATAACAAAATACTTACAAAGATAATGTTACAGACTCTGGGACACTAAGAAACTCGGAAACTAAAGTTGAGACACTTGAAGATTGGACTTGAGTGAGTTTTTTTTTTGATGTTCCTTTATTCTTCAAGTGTTCTCTATTTATATTGGTGAATACTCCTACAGATTGACTACCGAAAGAATCAGTCAAGGGTTAAGATTATGATGCCGGGTACAACTTTGGGCCCCATCGCACATCATTCAATCCTCAATCTCTTGGTTCTTTGTTTTACAAAATATTACAAAAAGAAAAGAAATGAAAAATAAAACACGTGTAAGGATTCTCACAACTTTTCTTTAATGGAGCAGAGTAGGGGTTGTTTGCTCTATTAAAGTAGTGAGTGAAGGAGAAGCCTTACTACTGACCTATGAAGCATGGGTACGGGTACGGGTACGGGTACGAGTATGAGTACTGGTACTGGTATG